AACATGTAAAAGTAATGTTTCCATAATGTTTGCAAGAAAATAAATGTTCCCTAAAGTTTGAGAGCATTCAGATATAAAGTTGTTATAACTGGGTAGCTACATAGATAGTAGAAAAGCAGGATAAAGAGAGATTTTAAATCTGAGTTGGAAACTAATTGCTCTAAATCATTATTCTTGTCTACTGGAGTAAAAGGCGGTGAGTAATCATAAAAACATAAGACTTTTATGTAGCAGATAATTTTGCTTAAGGTGTATTACAGTGCATTCAGTAGATTGTACTGTTGTTTAACAACATACCAATTGTTCAGCTGATGACATGTCTTTCTGAGAAAAACTTTCAATAGACAAAAACTCCATTATTAAGATAAATGGACCATTTCCGGGTTTCTCACCAGCGGAAGTCATCATAGTTGTGTAAACTTCTATAGCAGTGAATGGGAGTCTAAGAACCTTTGTATATAAAGAAGAAAATTATCTGTATTTGTAATGAGATCATTAATGCATTAAACATGTTTGGACATAGTTTCAGTGTTTTTTTTGTTTTTTTTACCCCACCCCACGGCTGGTGCCACCAAATTAAGGCCCAGCGCCACCACTCTCAAATGTTAGTCTGGAGCCCTGTGTGTATATATATATATATATATATATATAATTTTTGCATTCCCAGTTGCTCAAAAAAGCAAAAGAAAAACTCCACAATTTTTTTTTCATGAATTTCCAAAAGAAGACTGATAATGGCAGTCAGAAGGGAGAACGATGTCAAATATATGTTCCTATAGATATGTTCCTATATACATTTTAGAAACACCCTCGCATTAGTCTAAACTATTTCATTTATTTATTTTGTAATTTGCAAAGGTAATATAATACAAAGTATAGTGTTATAAATGTAAAACATTTTTTTAATGAAAATATAAAAAACTTTGGACGATTTACAATGCCGATGACCATTGAAACACGTCATCACAGTCTTGTGAAAAGAATAGTGTTCATTTAGTCATGTAACAGTGAGAAAGAGATTATTTTTTGCCTGTAATGTCGTAAACAGGTTTTGGATGGATTTGGCAGAGTTTATATTTAATTAAATGAATATTAATTATTGCTTTACTTTAAAGGATGTTATCTTGTATTATGAACACAAAAGCAACAAAGATCTAGAATTATTTGTTAACCTTTTTATTTTATTAGCAAAACTGCACATACATAATAAAAAATATCTTAATTCATCTCCTTTGTAAATTTTGTTTTGTTCTGATTTTGACTTTTTTATTTCTTCAATAAGACTGTTAAAAAATAAAAAAGTCTGTGACATGTTTAAAATACAATGATACAATCTTCAATCCCCCTGGTACTTTGTAATATCTTTATTTGTTAAAATTAAATGTGAGCTATGCTTTTTTGTTTCTTATTTGTTTATCATTTGTATTGCTATTATTTGTGTATTCCTTTTTCTGCAATTAAAAAAAAGTGTTCATTTGGTCATGTGATCTCAGTATTGCCCCTAATGAGAAGACCCGCTCCATGTAGAATAAGCTTTTATTAGGTATAAGCCTTTGAACGAGTGTACACGCTTTTAAACATTTTTCTCAAAACTACTATTCATTTCTTCGAGGGTTACTTTTAGTGAGGAAAAGAAAGGAGGATCCACTACTATTATTTATACACGGTCGCCATCTGGCGTCAGACTGGAGTACTGATTTTCTGGAGTATATCACATGCGTCAAAGACGCGGATTGGTCAATTGTGACAAGGTGCGCGTAACTCTCTTGTCTACCAAATGTAGCTGTAAGCTGTTAGTGTTCCAGATTTGTCGTTAAAAATGACGCTGTTTATGAACGCTTGCGCTCTTTTAGTCAATGTCCTCACTCTACCGCTGCACATTGCGGAGGTGATTGGACTTATGTCTTTCTACAAACGCGTCTTTCCTCTAATCGTCTATAAATTTACGTTCTCCTACAATGACAAAATGAACGACAACAAAAGGGAACTATTTCGAAACCTGGACAAATTCTTCCCCCCGAAAGGCTCTCTGCGCATCCTGGAGCTGGGCTGCGGATCCGGGGCGAACTTTGAGCATTACCCGACGGGCTGCAGGATCTCATGCATCGACCCCAACCCGCATTTCCAAAAGTACCTGGAGAAAAGCATGGCGAAGAACGACCACCTCGTTTATGACAGCTTCATAGTCGCGTCGGGGGAGAATCTGAAGGCGGTGGAGGACAACTCAATGGATGTTGTGGTGTGCACGCTGGTTCTGTGCTCAGTCCAGGATACGCAGAAGGTTCTGCAGGAAGCAAAGAGAGTTCTGAGGCCTGTAAGTTTAGGACAGTCACTGCTCAGCTGGTGGAAGTCCAATATTTTTTGATGGTATTTTATGGTCTCTTATCACTCCCAAGCCGTTTTGCCTCAAAGAGTAATTATTGATTACATGAAGTTTATTTGAGATGAAAGGTAACAGCATTACGTAACTACACGTAGACCGCCGTTTGCTGCGGTAAACCCATTTGAAACAGCTGTTTGTTTTAGGGCAGATGGCACCATGCTGTTTTTAAATGCTGGAACATTGTAAGCTAAACAACCTATATTCAAATACACAATTATGGGTTGAGAAATATAATTTTGCATTTTTTTTCTTCAGGGAGGTGCATTTTTCTTCCTTGAACATGTGGTGTCTGAACCCTCAAGCTGGATTTACTTTTTTCAACATGTTCTTCAACCATTCTGGTAATGTAATATAAAAACAAGCAGTATTTATAAAATCACCATTATATTTGACTTACGATCTCTACTGAATTGTAATAACTTTTATAATAATAATAATAGTTATTTATCTCAAGCTAAAGTAAATAAAATTAGGATAAATTTCATATAGTGGCAAATGTAAATGTAAAGCTAAAAGACTATGTTGCAGATTTGAAAAAATATGAGTTGGTAAAATGCCTGTGTAAATATAGCAAAAATATATGCATTCAATCACCCACACATAACTAAATCTTTTTTTTTGTGCTTTTTTTTTTGCTTTTACTTTGAAACCATACACTTAACAATTTTACATGATGGAATACTGAAATACTTGTAACAAAGCATATGACCACTATAGAATAAGAAAGTCTATGCTTTACTTGTATGTTTGTCAGGTACTATTTCGGTGATGGCTGTGAGACAACCCGTGCTACTTGGAAGCACCTTGAGGCAGCTGGATTCTCTGACCTGCAGCTACGTCACATCCAAGCTCCTCTGTTTTTTATGATCAAACCACACATTGTTGGTTATGCAGTCAAATGATGCAAATTAATTTAGCCAAAAAAACAGCAATAACCTTCATTCAAAATGGATTCATTTCACCATCTACTTTTAAATGTTTTTGTATGAAAGACCAATAAAATTAAACCATAAAATAGAATGTTTTTGTTTAATGTGCAAAATCTCAAGACTGCATTGTATATTTTATATGACTGTATCTTGTTGCATGAGTATCCCGTTTGTAAAACACATTACTATTATGATTAATTACAAAAATACCAGCAGGTAAAACAACAAAATACTTTTATCTATATAAAAAGGCGTTTGGAGATAACTGTTGTGTTGTTGTGGTTACTGCATAAACGAGCCATACTGCGTATCTCGTGGTTAGGAGGAATTAATTCATTACTTATTAATTTTGACTTCATACTGTATACTTTTGTAATATAGTTAAAAGTGCATAAATACTCAAAAAGACCACTTTGCATTCTCCACCTTTAAATTTTGACAGACAGTTTTTTCCCAACACTTCTGACTATTAAAGTTCCTGTTAAACAGATTGTACTCAAAAAGGTTATAAATTAGAAAATAGAACAATGTATTTTTTAGTACAGAAATTAATTTGGCTTTTTTAATGGTTTTGAAAATAACCATTTTAAAATGACCTTATATTTTTATGTTGTCCTTGAACACTATTCTTTAAATGTGGTATGAATAAAAAAATATATATATTTTTTTTAATGTGAAGTAAATATAAAATAGTTCTCTGGCTATCTTTTTAATGCAACAACCAAGACATTATGTTTTCCCAAATATTGACCAACATCATTTCATAAGCTAACCTTGCATCTCCTGTCTGACCATCTGAGTGGAGTTTTTCCCAAGAGCCTCCTTGAAACTGAGCTTAAAATAAAATTTTAAACAAAGAGTACTGCCCTGATTGGATTATATCATATGCATCGAAGATTTTAATTGGTCAAATGCCATGCGAATAATGTATAACATATAATGGGGAGTCGACTAGATTCTGAATAGCCCGGCAGTTGCTGTGTTTGAAATCGCTCACTTTGTTCACCAATTTTTTAATCGGTATATAGCATGGCAGTTTAGTGCACTATATCAGCAAGGAGTGAACAAAATGAAGCAAAGAATTCGTACAGTGACGTAAATGCACTGTGCGTACTACACGGCTAAGGCTAGATGGGCATGTGCACATCAATATAGCCTAATTTTTGTCACACTGTACAACAATAATTACTGTTGGGGTAGGTGTAATAATTAGGGTTGGGGTAGGTGTAGACGTTAATAAAATAATCTAATAAGTAGACAAATTTATTGTTAGCTTCCGGTTTTAGCTGTATCCCTTCTAGCCACAGAAACTGTGCGTAATACCAAAGACTATAGAATACCCAAGACGTGCCACTTGTATAGTTTTGAATGGGGAAAAATAGTGATGGGTCGTTCTTGAACGATTCATTCATTTTGAATGAATCTTTAATGTGACTCGGGAAGAACGAGTCGTCTCTGAGAGTGATTCGTTCAGTCTCGCATGCGCAACATCCTATAGGTTCTGTACTTGAATTAAGCCCTGTCCCAAATAGCACCCTAAACCCTTGCGGTCTTCCTCTGAGTCCGCACTTTCGTGACGTAATGCCGCTTTGACTGTTGGGTAGAAGTCTGCTGCGGAGCTCGCCCCAGTGCGGGCTCGGCAGAAGTGCGGATCGAGGGCGCTCGCAAGCACCCTTCTGAACCCTAAAATGACAAATGGGACACTCTACTGTCTCATGGACTTAACGGGCACGCGCATGCGGCGGCCATTGTAAGTCTGTAAGACCGCAAGTGCACATGAAGTGTTCCATTTGGGACAGGGCCTTAGTCAAGTAGTTCACCTGTTTCGAGTCTTCGGGTTTTTCGAGTCGTTCGTTCATTACGTGACAGACCTGTAAGCTTGAAGGGCACTTCGGGAAGGGGACGCCATTTGTAGGGACGTTCCAAATGAAAGTGAACAAATGAATCCCTTCACGAAGGGCCCTTCCAGAAGTCCGTTAGCGAAGGGAACATGTGATGGTCACTTCACGGAAGTGATTTCCATTTGTGATCATGTGATCTTCAGTTAGGAGATCTTGCGATGCTTTTTAAAGCAAAGTTGGGGTTGATTTCGAGTTCACATACAAATATAAATAGAATAGGCTAATTAAATTTGTCTATTTTAATGTAAGACAAAATATTTTTCGTCAGTGATAGAAATATGATTTAAGACGGTAGTGTAAGCAAGTTTAGTTTGAAAACGTTTAATAGTAAACAAGACACAATTAGACAATATTTGAATAAAATAATAATATGAAGAAGAAATATTTATTTGCAACAACTGGTGGAGTCCATAGCCGCCTGCCAGCTTCAGTGTAAATATTGCATCAAAATCAAGCGATTTAAACCCGGATGATTGTAACCACTCTAAGTTTGTCTGCCTTGGGAAAGCTAGCGTGTCTCCGACATAGTGATAACACTCTTTACCTTCTCTAGTGCAGCTCAACCAGGTCCCGTCCCATTCGTCGATATTTGTGATATCACAAATCCCAGAAATTATGCGTTGTAGTCCAAACGAGTCGTTCGTTGTAGTTTTTGAAAAATGATTTCTGTTAAATAAAATATCTCCTTTTGAAGTGGACTTTGCAACTATGCAGATCTGTTTTTATGCTCAAACAGCAGACTAACTAAAGTTGAAAAATTGAAAAAGCATAATAGGACCCCTTTAATAATAATAACCAACTCTTTATTACCTTTATTACCACATTCAGTGTTATGGAAAAGAACCATCATGACAGAAATTCACACATTTATAAACTGTAAGTAAAAAGCTACAATTTGAGACCAGAAACGCATCACGTAACTGTAAGAGTAAATAATAATTATAATAATGATACTACTACTACTACTAATAATAATAATAATACCTATGCACCCGTTTGTAAGGAAGCTTGTAAATTAACAAATTTCTCTATCCAATGCTGTCACGTCACGTGACAAAAGAACGACCGATTTGAAAGTCCTCACTCTACCGCTCTACGTCGCAGAGTTGGTTGGACTTTTGTCTTTCTACAAACGCTTCTTTTGGTTCGTATATAATTTCACGTTAGCATACAATGAAATGATGAAGGAAAAGAAAAGGGAACTATTTCGAAACCTAGACAAATTCTTCCCCCCGAAAGGCTCTCTGCGCATCCTGGAGCTGGGCAGCGGATCCGGGGCGAACTTTGAGCATTACCCGACGGGCTGCAGGATCACATGCATCGACCCCAACCCGCATTTCCAAAAGTACCTGGAGAAAAGCATGGCAAAGAACGACCACCTCTTTTATGACAGCTTCATAGTCGCGTCGGGGGAGAATCTGAAGGCGGTGGAGGACAACTCAATGGATGTTGTGGTGTGCACGCTGGTTCTGTGCTCAGTCCAGGATACGCAGAAGGTTCTGCAGGAAGCAAAGAGAGTTCTGAGGCCTGTAAGTTTAGGACAGTCACTGCTCAGGTTGAAAGATAACACATTTGGTATTATCACATTTTATAATACAGATTAGTAGGCTACTGTTCCTAAGTGCTTTAAAATACTAGTTAATTTTAAACAAAACAACCGTATTCAAGTAGTTTTGAGTTGAGAAATATACATTTTGTACTTTCTTCAGGGAGGAGCATTATTCTTCCTTGAACATGTGGTGTCTGACTCCTCAACCTGGAGTTACTTTTTCCAACACGTTTTTCAGCCTTTCTGGTAAAATAAAAACAATATTAATAAAATTATTAAAACTATTTTATCATTTCATTTACTTATGGTCTTCATAAAATGTTTTTATAACTTTTGTAAAGTTATTTATCTCCAGCTAGAGTACTTTTTGAACTTATTTCAAAAAGTGAAACTTTCATATATTCTAGATTCATTACATGTAAAGTAAAACGTTTCAAAAGTGTTTTTGTTTTAATTTTGATGATTAGAACTAGGGCTGCACGATAAATCGCATGCGATATTTAACGAAATAGCAAAAATGCAAAGAACACAGCTGCATGACTTCATGAAAAACACAATCGCGTCACAATTTTCATATGTACAAGCGCATCTGAAATAAGGTGTAAAAATACCAGTCTTCTATCTGGATATATCAAAATTCAGCTAGCGCTTCAAATAAAATTAACATTCAATATTCCCTGGAAACCAAATGGGTCAAGAATAAAGCGAGATCTCCCAGTGTAGATGTGCCAATGCTTGCACAAGATACATACACATATCTGTTGACTGCAAATAAAAATATGTAAATGGAAAGCGTATCCCTCTTTCCATCTATCCTGAAAAGCATAACAGTTGCTGTTGTTACTGGTCAATCGTTCTTAGGCTATTAGTTAAAAATGAGTTGTATAAAAACAAGCATTTGACATGAGGATTAAATGCATCCCCATGCCAGAAAAAAGTCCTTGTGTCTGTGTTTTTATAAGCACGTAGGCAGACAGGTCTGCCAGCAAAGTCCCATTAGCCTGATTGGATGGATGTCCCACTAGCCAGTTTTAACACAGTACAGGTCCTTTAATGTCTTGAGCTCCTCGATAAGAGTCTTGTTCTGATTCTCCAGGACAGCCACACGGTTCTCCAAACACTTCACGTACTCCTTTTTCTTTCTGCGGCACTCTTTGGCTGCCTCCCTGCACACAGAGATTCGCAATTACACAAAAAATGCAGTTAGGCTTACAATGCAATAAAAACGACCCATATGAAAACAACCGCAGGATATTATACATCACCAACCAACTTCATCTCGTTAAACAAATAGGGATGTAATGAACTTTTTCACGATATTCTAATTTTTTGAGATGCACCTGTAAATATGTAAAATTCCATATAGTAGCATATATATACAATATATATATATATATATATTCCAGAATGTATTAATTTAACGCAACGATGGAATACTAGTAACAAAGCATATGTCCTCTATGGAATAAGAACGCCTTTAAATACTGTATGTAAGTTTATAGCCATCATATATGTATGTATATGTATACTTGTCAGGTACTATATGAACGATGGCTGTGATACAACCCGTGCGACTTGGAAGCACCTCGAGGCAGCTTGCTTCTCTGACCTTCAGCTACGCCACATCCAAGCTCCTTTATTTTTTAATGCTCAAACCACACATTGTTGGTCATGCAGTCAAATGATGAATATGAATATCGCAGAAAGAAAAACCTAAAGGCTTTCTCAAGCATGTTTTCTTTCAGTAAGCCCGATTCATTTCACTATGCACTTTTAAATGTTTGTATGAAAGAGCAATTTGTATTGAATGTATAAAATAGAAAGTTTTTGTTTAATGTAAAAAGACAATCTCAAGACTACATCTCACATTTTATATGCCTATCTTGTTGCATGAGTATCCTGTCTGTAAAACACAGCACTATTAAATACTAAAATACCAGCAGGTAAAACAAAATACTTTTGTCTATATAAAATAGTCTTTTGGAAATTAATGCAGGCCAGCATTTGTGAGTTTATGGTTAATGCATAAGAGAGCTATACTGCCTTCTAGTGGTTAGGAGGAATGCATGTCTTCCAAAGTAACACTTTTAAAAGAAATGAAGCATACCTTAATACTTTTTCCTTCCTACTTCCGTACTTGTTATAATACTATGGCATTAGCTAAATACTCAAAAAGACCATCCAACATATATATGTATAGCTGATTCACTACAGAAATGTCTTTAACTTTGATTGTATGTTTTTGTACTTTTCCTAAGCCTGGAAATTATTTTTTTAAATTATTTATGGAATTGAAAAAAACAAAGCTAGAATTCTTTTATTACGGTTTCCCAAATATACTGAGTGGAGTTTTTCCAAGGGCCTCTGAGTCACAAAGTAGGCAAGCAACAAAACAACACTGAAACTGAAAGGGAGAAAAACAAAGGCTGGAAAATATTTATTTAGATTCACTCTAGCAAAAACAAGTGACATCAGGCTTTTTTTTCATTGTATACTCCCTGATTCGATTGTCTTGTAACAGCTTGGCTTATAAACAGTGGTAAGCCTCAGACCTATTACTCAGCTAAAACCAACAACAGTCCCAACCCAAGTGTGTATATGGCTTAAAGACCAATCAGACATACTACAAAGACCTGCACTAGAAAGGACATAGGTTTGAATTCTACAATATTAGTCTATCAATCCAGAATAAGGCTTAAATGAGCTTACCACTGTTTCATGTTACCCATAATAATAAAGCTGAAAGTCCTCACCTTAAATTCTGCTCAGTCTCTGTAGAAAACCTCTCACTAAAACTCATTAAAATAAAATACGGAATGGGGATAAGAATACCAGAGCTTCCTAAGAAGGGAAAAATAGCAAAAATGCAAAGAACACAGCTGCATGACTTCATGAAAAACACAATCGCGTCACAATTTTCATATGTACAAGCGCATCTGAAATAAGGTGTAAAAATACCAGTCTTCTATCTGGATATATCAAAATTCAGCTAGCGCTTCAAATAAAATTAACATTCAATATTCCCTGGAAACCAAATGGGTCAAGAATAAAGCGAGATCTCCCAGTGTAGATGTGCCAATGCTTGCACAAGATACATACACATATCTGTTGACTGCAAATAAAAATATGTAAATGGAAAGCGTATCCCTCTTTCCATCTATCCTGAAAAGCATAACAGTTGCTGTTGTTACTGGTCAATCGTTCTTAGGCTATTAGTTAAAAATGAGTTGTATAAAAACAAGCATTTGACATGAGGATTAAATGCATCCCCATGCCAGAAAAAAGTCCTTGTGTCTGTGTTTTTATAAGCACGTAGGCAGACAGGTCTGCCAGCAAAGTCCCATTAGCCTGATTGGATGGATGTCCCACTAGCCAGTTTTAACACAGTACAGGTCCTTTAATGTCTTGAGCTCCTCGATAAGAGTCTTGTTCTGATTCTCCAGGACAGCCACACGCTAGAATACCCTAGCAACACTAAAACACCCTAGCAACCAAGAAAACTTTGGCAACCACTTACAATACAAATTAGGCATGTAACGATTCACTCAACTCACGATTCGATTCGATTCACGATTTTGATTCCACGATTCGATTCGATTCACTTTTTTTTTTTTTACAAAATTAGATTTAAGACAAATTATAAATTACATTTTAAAACAAGCCCCAATTATTTGACTTATTGCGATTTGTTTACCATCTCAACCGATTTGAATCATCACGTATTTGAATCGATTTTCAACCGGCTCGTGGTTAATCGTTACATCCCTATAAACAAACCAATCCTCTTTCGCTCAAATACACCCACCTGTTCTTCGCCAGGCGTATCTCTCTCTTCATTTGCGGGTCATCGCTTTTGCCCTGAGAGCTGATAACGGGTGATGTCATGACGACGGTCTGAGGCAGCGAGGAGGAAGAAGAGCGGATCTGATATGCTTGCATTTCTCCCCCTGCACCTATAACACAGTATCACAGCCAGAGTGTGTCCCACATGTACTAAAGCAACAATACCAGCTGATTGCCAACTGAAAAGGTCATTTTTGCCTTTGTGTGCCAACCTTGGAGCACCACTTGGTTACTAGGCAGCAGAATTTGTTGTCCGTCGGCGGTCTGAGCGTATTGCAGGATAGTTGGCTGGTTTGGGTTCGAGTTGGTCATGGTGAGAGCCTGCAGGCCTTGCACACCCTCTGAACCAGCACTGGCCAGCTGCAGAGAGCCATTGGATGAAATCGCAACTGCAAAGGAGCAAACAAAACTGTGATGGATGGTTTATGGTATAATATTATGCAATTGCTTATTACAACTGTGCTCTAGTTCATGCTGTAAAATAAGAAGAAAAATCAAGTTTGTATAAACAACAAACTGCATGGCTTATGCAACCATTTGCTTCATTTCTGTTGCAAAATACATAGGAAGTTACCACATGATGCATTCCGTACCGCACAAAACCCATTGTATTCAAATAATATGCAGGCTTGGCTTACTATATTGGCCAGTGCTTGTCTGGTAGATCGGGGTAGAGAGTGAGACGCTTGTTATGGCAGAGGAGGTGGAGCTTTCCTCTTCCCCCTCATTCCGAGTCGCCACTTCCTCAGCTGATAGATCGTTTAGAATCTTCCTGAAACACAAAAAGGAACAGAAATGTTTGTGTGTGCCTAAACTTTTGGTTTTGTGCCAGAGATGTGCTTGGAGTTTGGCAAGTTTTGCTTTTTACTTTCCTCTCACTAACATTGTGTTTGTGTATAATTAATTAAGGACACATGAAATGAAGCGTTTACAAGAATATCTCGTTTTCTACATGAGAGTCAAAAGTCAACTTTTTTAAGGATGTGGTTAAATGTAAAAAAAAATAAAAATGTATGCTGCATTAAAAAACTGTAAATGATGACTGCAAAAGGAGTGATTAAATGACATTTCTTTGTGATTTTGTCAAAGATTTCCAAAACAAGAACAAAAATCCAATACAAGCACTATAATCATTGAAAAAAAAAACTTACATTCAAGTCACCATGAAAATCAAACAATTATTGAAGAATTGACTATTCTTATTTTTTTAAATGAAATACTGCAGTTTTATTATTATTATTATAAAGGATTTATCTGTGAACATAGTTTTTTTTATTCATGCGCACCTCATGAACTTCAATCAAAAACATTAACAACTTTCCCCCTCATAACAAATGCCGGGCAATAATCTCCAGCAGCCTGTCAACTTACATGTATCATTGTTGTTTGCAAATGTTGCAATCTCAATCAATTCCAGAAGAATAAAATCAAATTAAATGCTACATTTTTTCTAATTCGAGAAGCCATTTCACATACATCACAATAGAAGAAAAGAGGTTACATGGCGACTTTAAAAATGTTTTCTGTCTTCGCTTTCTCACTTTATTAGTCATTAAAGTGCAGGAGAACCATGCTTGGGAGAAACTGCTTGGTTACACAATCACCATGCATAATAATGAGTTTTGTGAGCTGTGCATTTACTGAGGGAATATTTTGGAGCAGATCCAGTTCTTCAGTGTGAAAAGCTGTTTGCTGGTCACTGCCAAGGCCATGAGAGTCCACCTCACTCTGGCTCTGATAAATTCAAACTTGCTACATGTGGTCAGATGGTCTGCAAGAGCAATCCCTCTGATTCTCCAAAAACTATGCAAATGAAGGCTAGTAGGATGCCAGCTTTAGAAGTAATTAAAGAATCCGTGTAATTTTGAGGTCCAGCAGACTCATAAATTATTTGCCCCTGCCCCCTGGGCTTTTTACCTGTAGGATGGGCGCCGAGCCAAGATCTCTCTTGACCTCGGGTTAGATGCTCCGCTGTCACTTGATTCCTGAGAATCATCACTGTCAGATCCTTGGCCCTAATAGGAAACATTGTTTAATTGGAGGGGAAACATGTCATTGATTTCAATCTGAAGTAAAAGCATTCAGAAGTTTTAAAGATCAGGAAGTTTAAGATCACTGTATGCATGTCTGCACATTACCTGTGCTTGTGCTGGTGGAGACTGGATAACCGATGACTGCGCTGACTGAATCACACCTTGAACCTGGAACTGACCGCTGGGCAGCTGAACCACAGCCACTGGATTCCCACCCAGAGACATCTTTGTACATGATAATCATAACATGAAACAAGCAATTTTGTTGCTGTTTTTTGGAAACAAATTCCCTTTTATTCAATTTTATTATGGATGCACGCGCTTTATTTAACATGTTTTGGTTGGTTGAACAGAAACACCTGCCCACTACAAAGATAGAGCTGAGAAGTGCCAGGACAATTTTTAATATAACTCCGATTGGATTCGTCTGAAAGAAGAAAGTCATATACACCTAGGATGGCTTGAGGGTGAGTAAAACACACACATTTTTGAGTGAACTAACTCTTTAATATTTCATATAAAAAAAACACTTAAAATGAGAATTTCTAATAAAAAATAAAATCCACATATAATGTGTGTAAAAATATATACATGAAAAATTACTTGTAAAAATTACATTAAATAAATAATAATTCAGAGATTGGGACCAGTGAAATTTTTTTTTTTTTCAGGGCAAACAAATTTGAACCAAGGACAGAAAAACTATGTCTAATTATGTACAATTTTGAAGACTGACAGCAAACATGAGAATGCTCAAGAATACAGGCTGTGTTTATATGTGCTTACAGGATGGTCGGTCGGTCGGTCGGTGTGTGTGCTGTGGTCAACACAGGCTAACAGTCAAAAGCCTTGATTTAGTCACCGTTTCCATTTCACCCCAACCCTGAGTCAGTACCTTCAGCTCCACCACACACACTTACACTGTCCTTGTGGGTTGCTTTCTACACATTATTGTTGAACCTCATTTATGATTTGATTCCAGTAAAATCATGTTAGTACAATAAATGGAAAATAAAATTACAATGTAATGGGAAAAAAAACAGAAAGACTGCTTAACATGGAAGACACAACTCCTCCTGTAGTAGTAAATCAGATGGAGCTGCTTTGTGTTGTTATTAACAGCACTTCATGCAGAACCGGATGCTAAATAACGCCCATCAAATACGCACAGTCCTCGAAAAAACAAGCAATATCGGGATAATTTCTATTTTAATAAAGCCATAATAACATTGCGAGCTATACTGACCTGTTGATTCAACATTTTCGATAATATTGTCTGTTAAAAGTCCACGTTTAAAACAAAAAATCTAAAGCTACAAGCAGTTAAAGTTAAAATGATAAATAAAAAAAGACAGCTGCCAATGATTTCATTTAAGGAAGTATCTGTCAAAATACACAAGATTCGGCCGGTATTTATAAGCGTGCTTGTTTCTACTACACAAAAAGCTCCATTACCAGAAACAGCTAGTTTTTTTTTTTTAGCGATGTTGCAAATATTTAACGAGTGGCAGCGTCTTAAAGTCTTATTCCTCCATGAGATCCTGATCAAAAGCGCATCTCTAAATAAAGCAAACAGCTGCGGTGTTGTGAAGCCTGTGGGCGACTTTATGCCGCGTTCTGCAGAAAGTTCCAAGCGAGTCACTGGCACGCAAATGCCCGCGTCAACAGACGTCAGCGATACGGGGAGCCATTAAAACACCTTCCCGTAACGAGTGCTACAACCGACCGGACGGGCGCCATGACTGCAGCGACAGAGGAGGAAGAGTAACGTTACAGAACAAAATCAACGCCTTACCTTCAATCCGTTTGAACCGCTCCTGGAAACAATAAAGCCGTCTATAGAGATGCCAGGATTCGAGATATAATTTGTAAAGTAAATTATTTAATAATGCATAGAATGAACCTGGGCGGTTTCCATTGGAAAAAAAATCTAGATGGCTTGAGTTTTTTTTTCTAAAGGCCGCAATAAGCGCCGCCCTCTAGAAGGACGTGCTACGTAAATCTGTATTAAGCTTTGTGATTGGTCAATATCACTGAAACGTAAAGGGGGTCTGGGGACATGAATGAAACCAATGCAATTTTATGAATTTCTATATTCTGCTTGGCAAATACTATATTCACAAACAAAGATGTGCAAACTGTATTTCAAAATGTACATTATTTTTTACTAGAAGTGGAGTCGCTGCAAGAATTCTTCATATTATTAAGAACAAAAAAATGAAACCCTATTAAGTTTCATGGAGAAATTCTTGAACAATATAATTTTCCTGTTATACAGCCCCAACTATGATGTTGAATTTGTTTTTGGGGAAAAAAATTTAGTTAATTTTAATATTGCATTTTTGAAAGAACCTGTACATGGCAGCTATTAACTGTTTCAATCTGTTTGAAACTTTCATTCCTTAATAAAATAATAAGAAAACACAGTGCAGTTATCTATAAAATTAAATAATTTTATAATTAATAATTTTATGACACATATTTTACTAAGAAATAAAGTTTTTTTCCCCAAAAAGCTGTGATATTAAAGCATTGTGTAGGCCACTTTCACCAAAAGGTCAGATAGATAGATAGATAGATAGATAGATAGATAGATAGATAGATACAGTTATAAAAAACAAACTTCAGAGATGCAAAATAAAAGCCTTTTATTATTTTTTCGTGGTTTTCATTGGAGTATAAAACAGTTACAATAACCAATGTACAAAAAAGAAAGATGTGAACCAACAGGAAAATGCTTGCTTGCATAATCATGACTTTCTTTTATATCCATGAATGACTAAAAGAAATCGTATCAGATTCTTATAATTGGAATGTGTTCTCTCAATCTTGTAATTAAAAATGCTATGAGAATTGAACAAAGTTTTAATCAACACAGAAAAGTAATATGCATTGTCTAAACAAAAAAAGTCGTTACTATTGCATGTTCCCATTTTATAGCAAGCAAATAATCTGTATTTTATTTCTTGTATAGTGGTTAAGTGTGTACGTTGCTTTGCCGGATGTGTCCTTTGTAACTGCAGCTGGTTGCATAGTGTGTGAAACATTTCTTTTGGTTCCAGCACTTAGCTGGCATAACAGATTATCAATTAACTGAACCGACTTTGTCTCATTTTCTGCTTTGTTTTGTTTCTTGTCCATATTAAGACTTGGTTAACACTTATGTAAATGACAAATAAATTATTTTTATTTAAAGAACAAAATCATTGCAAAACATGAAAGTGAATATTTATAAATGAATATCCTCTCCATCCTGGAAAGCACTATTTCCCTGAATGCCCCATGTAAAAAGCTCATTCACTCGCTTGTGCTTTCATCACATAAGCTCAGCTCTGATGCCATTAATGACAGTGAGAATAGAGAATACATTTCATGACAGCGTCTCTGACTTGGGAAAAGGTATTGTGGAACTCATCAGCAAACAAATGACCTTTCAATGCGGTGGCCATACATACGCATACATATACAACCCCAGAATGAGGTCAGGCTAACATACTGTAGTGATCAGTTGTGTAAGGACTCTGAAAATAGTCTTTCAAGCCCCCACAGTGCTTGACTTTATCATGCTTACATCTTAAAGACTTGTACATACCGTAAGATTTCTGAATCTGAATTCTAAATAGAAATGCACGACAGACAGACTTCAACCCATCACATTTCTGATCAACCAGAAAAGAAAAAACAGAAACAGAGCAAGCTATTTACAAGAAGTCTTCAACTTCAGACCCCTGCTCAGCTACGAAGGGATGTCAATGACAGTAGTTAATATTAATCCAAAAATCTGACAGAATACAGCAACTAACTTACAGTACAGTAGAATTTCCCATCTGTACACAAGCAATAATTTACAATTATTTATGGTTTACAAGAAGTTAGTCATTCCTAGTAAAAATGTCTATAGTACAGGAGACCGCAACTGTCCTTTAAAGATCCTTTGCCAAACATGTAAAATCGATGCCTTTGTACAGTTAGGTGTTCACGAGGGGCTTGCTTGTACAGAGTTTTGTTATTTTACAGTTGTTTTATTTTATTGTACAGATGCCTGAATTCCTTTTTTTGTCATTCAGAGGTTTAAATGGCTTGTCCTGATGTTTATAAGCACCTTTAGATGTGAGCAAAAATAGAGCTTTACGTTCCTCAGTTGGTGTTTGGTTTGGGCTTAGTGTGTGATGATGAGGTTAGCAGTTGGTGAATGTTCTTGTCTTACTGTTTTATGTTGAAAAGTAAACTCAAGGAATGTGTGATTTGTAAATGTAGGTACTGAGGTTAGACTGGGCATTAAAGGGTTAGTTCACCCAAAAATGAAAATGTAATTAATTACTCACCCTAGTTACTCACTGAAATGTTCCCAAGTCCAGAAGCGTAGCAAGGAGATCTGTAAAATAATCCATGTGACATCAGTGGTTCATCCGCAATTATACGAAGCTACGAGAATACTTTTTGTGTGCAAAAGAAAAAAAACGACTTTATTCAACAATTCGTCTCCTCCGCATCACCCTGGTGCCATTTTGGAGAATATCCGCTGGACGTAAACAGCGTATGCTATTCTGTGTCAGCTGCGTCACACGGATACGCTGTTTCCGTTCAGATCAAATCACAACAACGTAGGAAACAGATCCAGCGTGACGCAGCTGACACAGAACAGCATACGTTGTTTAGTCCAGCGGATATTCTCCAAAATTGCGGATGAACCACTGATGTCACATGGATTATTTTACAGATCTCCTTGCTACGTTTCTGGACTTGGGAACATTTCAGTTGTGTTGCGGTCTATGCAGGGTCAGACAGCTCTCAGATTCCATCAAAAATATCTTAATTTGTGTTCCGAAGATGAACGAAGGTCTTACGGGTTTGAAACGACACGAGGGTGAGTAATTAATGACAGAATTTTCATTTTTGGGTTAACTAACTCTTTTTTTTATGTGCCTGCGCTTTTTTGTGTAAGTCATATGCTACTCAGTAATGCAAGTATTTATATAATACTACACATATGCCCTTGTTGACAGATATTAATAATCCATGTTACAGAATGTATCTGCATTTATCTAATAAAGTGCATAAAGGATAATGAAAAATAACAGGGATGATTATCCTCATGCTGAACTTGTGGGGTTGAGGGAATTAAGTTTTTCAGTGTAATATATAATTGCAAAACTAAAAGAATTTAAAAAAAAAAGAAAGTTATATACTTTTGGGTATTACATTGCAATTTTTTGCAAAACTAAAAGAATTTAAAAAAAAAAGAAAGTTATATACTTTTGGGTATTACATTGCAATTTTTCTAGTACAGCTATAGATTGTGTACTGTAGAACTAAAACAAATTAAAATATGTACGTTTGTAACCAGAATAGCTCCATATCTGAAATTTCGTTAAAGCCCCAGTGGTAAGATTTAAACTGCTAAATGGTTCCAGAACAGACAGCAAACAGAGCAAAATGAGCTGAAGGCTGCAGTCTCTGTAGCACATTTGTGTGTTAACCAAAAAGATGGTTGATGAAACTGTGGGTTTTAACCTGGGTAAGGGCATTCTATGAACCAGAGCGTTACAGAAATGTCCTATAATCAATACTGCCCTTGAGAAAGGCACTTAACCCCAGGTTGCTCTGGAGGGACTGTCCCTGCGTCATAAGTATACTGTAAGCTGCTTTGATGAATGACAAATGACCAGGGGAGTATCAATACCCCTATTACCCCAATGCTGTCCTAAAATGTTTCATTTTAAAGCCCTGTAACACACAGCACCATTAATAAGCTGGGTTGCAGATCAATTCTGTGTATATATTCAGAATCATTTAATGCTATATCCTAAAAGAAACTAATCTTCCATTCTTTGCTGTTGGGATTCAGAGGCATGATGTCCTAGTCTGTTCATTAACTTGATTAGCACACTAATACACATCCCAAAAGAGTTGTAACAACACTAATTTAAGATACAGAATTTATATTGCTAAATCTACATAATTCCTCGACTCATGTCTTTTGTAGCTCATCCATCAAGACCTCCTATCATTCATTCTAGTGATCATAATCGTATAAATTACAGTTTATATTGCACTTTTTGAGAATTCACTTTGTCTCTCTTTTATACTTATTCTGAGAATTGACTCCTGGAATCGATTCCATTGATTCCAAATACTTGGAATCAGAATCAACAATTCTGGAATCGAACAACCCAGGTGAAAACTTACAAACTGAGGCTTTAAGCTCATTTTAATTAAAAGAAAATTACTAGAATTACTACAGTACTAGAATAGGAGTGCATTTGAGTAGAAAAAAACAGCTATGTAATTCAAGTAAATTTAAATCATGACCAAGAACTGGACAGACAGTAAGTGGCATTTTCCTAGGGGGGGTGGGGGGGAGAAGGAAGTGAGCAAAAGGGAAATTCTATTATAATATCCCTTCTCCAAAACAGTCATCTCACACATTTGTAATTTTTGTTCAATAACACCTTATCCCTGAAAAAACAGGGCCAAGTCTGTCTGTATAAGGACCCAATCCCAGTTGTGAGGCCAGGCTCCATAGCACCTTTCTGGTAAGCCTTTGTATCGCCCATGACTCAACTCACATGTTGTACGCTACGTATATGGGGTCCAGCTGATCTGCCAGGAAGGAGTCTCTCAAGTGCATTCGCTGCTTTTCTCCTCTGGAGTTTATGGGAATGACCCCTGGGTCAACGATAACCACTACACCCACAATCAGATGGTGCTCCTCTAAAACAACATTGGTTACCAGAGGAACCAGGTCTAAAGCGTCCTGCTCGGATCCGCAGAGTTCAGCCACCACCACCAGCAGATTTGTCCAGGTGAACACGGCACTGCGGAGGGGAAAAACAAATAAGAGGTAATGGACCGCATGATTGGACAATAAAAATTAAGCAAAGAGTGTGACGCTGGGACTTTACCTTTCACCAATGCTGCGATGGGCACGTGATACGCTGGTCTCGATGTCAATTGGATGATATCGCAAACCTCTCAATTCTAAAGTCTCATCCAGAGAGCCCACCACAAACAGGGCGTCATGACGATCTAACAAGCAAGAAAATTTTTACAAGAATGCATGTGTTTTTTATTAGTGACCTATAAACAGTTCAGAATCTAGGAATATATTCATTCATTTTACAACTTTTTTTTGTTTGAAATTTTTTCAAATTCTAAAACTTTTTGGTATGCATTAAAAAAAAAAAATCTTCAATGTGGTCTCAGACTTTAGCATCCCACATACACTATATCTCCCTTATCAATCTGTCACGAGCACTTTGCCATTAATTCATCTATTTTTATTTCTCTCTCTCACCTCCACTGGAGTCTGTGAGTTCAGTTCTCTTGACAAAGCCCAGGTATCCAGTTCTGGCCCAGAGTGTTTGAGGATCTCCAAAACTCAGCTTAGTGTTGAAGTGGTCAGCCTGCAGATTTTCCTCTCCGTATATAGTGTAGTATCCTGTTGCATTGTGGGGACTGTTTACCCAAATCTAGGAAAGAAAGAAGTGTATTACTGGATAAGAAATCTAATCTTTTTTGATGGACAAAGAAAAAATCCAGGTAAATATCACTTATCTTGTATTATTTCCAGTCAAACTGTAGATTTCTCAAATTATTAGCCAAATTATTCTTATTTATTATTATTACTATTTAAAAATCAGCCTTAGCAAGACAAAGGAATCACTGTATTCCAAAAATGATTCTCCTATGATTGTTAGTGTACAAATAAAATAATATTAGAATGATTGGAAGTGTGTTATAAGGTTCATTTTCTTTTAAAAAAAGCACAACGCTAAAGAAACACCCAATTATTATTCTCCTCTGTAAACGCACCTCTCCCAGGTGAGAGTCCCCTAGCGGTCCTCTAGTTTCTGGATTGACTATGATCACCCTCACACCAGGAAGAATCTAAAAGAGGGAGAAAAGGCATTAACACTATTTTCAATTTCATTTATGCTTGATCCAACAGTGGAAATGTGCTTACTGTTCCAGACTCCACAAGAGGAAGTGACTGTGGCGCTCCTCGCTCTACTAACCTCACCCTATAACACAGAAACACCATCATCAGTGTTGTACAAGGAGAAAGAGTGTTTATTACATGACATAATCACTAAGAGCCGGGAGGAACCAGCAGCTCTGGAGCTTTTCTTCATATTTGACAAAACCCGGTCTCATAATTGATAGAATTCTGCACTATTTAAAACTGTGAAAAACTGTGATTTCTGCTCTTTTAATGGCACCAAACACAATTCAGTTTGGCCAAAAAGTGACATTTCACACTTAACTTTTAGTATTTAAACACTATTTGTTTTGTGTGTGTTTATATGTGTTTGTCCTTATCTTACCGGTCATGCCGGAGGGACTTCATGTCCACATAAACAGTTGAGGGGTCTGGCCCTGTGGTACCCTGTGAAAAATACAAACCCACCAAACATACAGATCAGCTGCACATCAAATATTAACATCACATATCCACAACCTCCCACCAATGCCCCTGTTGAAAAATCCGGCATATGTCGGTTAGGTATGTTTTGAAGCATGGCTGCTGGTTTGAGCTGGTTTAAGCTGGTCATGTGCTGGTCCTAAGCTGGTCCTGAGCAGGAGCTAGTTGCTTAGGACCAGCCCATGACTAGCTAATAACCAGCTTAAACCAGCAAAGGACCAGCTCATGACCAGCTACGGACCAGCTTAAACCAGCTCAAACTAGCAGCCATGCTTCAAAACATACCTAACCAGCATATGCTGGTTTTTTCAACAGGGGCATTTATTGGTAACAGAGATGATGGATCAGTAAGAAGAGTGTATATCGTTGCCTACAGCAGGTGCAAAGGAAAATCAATTTGCTGAGTTCAGATAATTTACCTGTAGGCAGATGGCCAGGTTAACTCTCGACCCAAAAGCAGTGCTGACAGCCCGCATGGAGAGTCCAAGATCTTTGAACAGCTTGGAGAAGGAATGTGTGAGAACCAAGCGTGGACGCTCCTCAGCAACCACCACACAGCTCCTCACACATGACAGGTTCACACCACGTGCCTGAAGTCAGATGGACACGAAGAACATTAGAAGAACATGTGATCAAAAAAAAAGAAGATTTTATGGATATTTTGAATCCATGATTGCATGGATCTTTTGAGTCCATGGATCTATGAAAGAAAGCCATACAGGATTGGAACGACAAGAGGGTGAGCAATTGATGGTAGAATTGTCATTTTTGGGTGAACTATGCCTTTAATGGTGTGTAAATATGCAGGTGAGCGTACCTTCAGCATGTCTGTCTGTCCACCTAGGCCCTTGGTGCAGAGCTCCATGACTGAATAGGAGCAGAAGGTGTCTCTGATGCGGTACTGACTGAGCGTGCCTAGCCACAGGGTCAGCGAGCTCTCCAGCTCCATAGGAGGGATCAAGATGGACTGATGACCTGAATATACACTGTAAAACACAGGCACATTTCAGGTTTATAATACCTTCAAAACATATTCATATCCATTCTGAAGAGAACAAGCCATTGCATGAGATGACAAAATGCTGTGAGTCATTTTTATCTTAGTATGAGTCATTTGTATGTGACTGTTTGTGTGTATCCATCTGTTACCTCGCAAGGCACCAGAGCACAAATCCAAGTCCACAGTAGGGGTCGAGGCAGATGGTGATCTGGCGAGAGGAGTACAGCTCACACTGCAGCTTTATAGAGCGACAGAGAGCGCTCACCGCCGCATGAGAGATCTGATAGACAGCCAATCAGAGAGGGGAGTTTCAAATGTACAGTACAACTAAGAGGGTGATATTTGCTACAGTGGGGTCCAAAACATCTAAGATCACACTGAAAATCAGTAAATATTATTTAAACTAAAATGGTTTGCGATTTTAAAAGCGAAAATAGCAAAATAGAAACATTTTCAATAGTGGTTTTAGGTTTCAGGACACCACTGTGTATTAACAACATCCAATCCATTTGAAACATCTCTGATTGGTCAGTTATTCAATGACCCTGCTAAAGATAATTATGAAACATATCTTATTATGAATTATGAAAGATCTCTCACCTTCACTCCTGTCAGCATGCCTGTGGTTGAGACACTGAAATCCAGATAGGCGATCATCTCAGCATTGGGCGGTTTGTAGATTGTGGGAGGTCGTTTGCGAGGCAAGTCATCTGGGGGAAATTATGGACATGTTAATTATAGATATATGTCTAAGCTTGCTTGCTATGCGTGTTTCTGGGTGGGAAGTTTATGTTGTTATTTTATGTAACATGGAGACTTGTAAGTGCTTAAATTGACTATTGTGGTGATGAGTCTATTATTCGTCAAGCTGTTACACAAAACTCAAAGTTGTTTCAATTAAAGTGCAAATCCTGATCTAGTGTATATGCTAAATTCTCATTTAATATATTGTATCATATCATGTCATGTCATGTCATGTCATGTCACATGACTTGAACCTATTATTATACAAGCAAAGTATAGTATGTTCTGCACAACAGCTGTATTGAATACTGACTGGTGTGTGTTACCTGTGTCTATTATGATGGGCCATGTTTTTATGTTTACTGTAGTTGCTGCTTCTTTAGATCTAAGAATCTTCGTTAAAACCTGAGTAGTGAGAATGCAAGCAGCCTTGCTGACCTGAGGAAACCAGGAGAGATGCAAGAAAAGTGAACAATGTTAGAGTCTGGCAGCTGAAGAGCCTTCACTACCAAGCAGTTAAAAGAAAACACAACCAAATCAAGGTGTTCAACAGATGCAAACACACAGACTTACATCAATGATCATGCGGACAGTGGGCAGAGTGGCAGAGAGGTTCTGTGGGTGTGGAGGCCTCACGGTGACAGGAATACAACCAGCATACAAACAGCCATAAAATGCTGCGATCAAATCTATACCTGCACACACAAAAAATTCAAATGCAAGGCAACATTTTTAATTGTGTAAAAAATCATTAAATTATTTTTAAATGATCATTTTCTCCTGGACTGACCTTTAGAATTAAAGACCAGTTTTACCAGTGTTTTTTAGTATTATTTCTTCATAAACAATTATATTATTAATTCATATTTTAAATTAGCTTTTATGTTTACATTTTGAGTTTTCATTTTAATTTTTAATTTGGTTTAGTAATTTTGTTATATGTTTTTATTTAGCTTTAATTTTTTTCAGTTATAGTTCTAAGAATTTAGGACTTCAACTTATTTCAGGTGCTTGTCAAGACAACATTTCTAATTTTGTTGACGTTTTCTAATAATCTAATATTTAGATTTCAGCTTTATTTATTTATTTTAAATTTTAATCGTTTTAGTGCCCCTTTAAAGGGGTCATGAACTGAGAAACCAAAGTTCCCTTGATCTTTTGACATATAAGATCTCACTGTATTATAAAAACATCCTGTAAGTTTCAGTCTAAAAACAGCAAATATTGAAGCCAGTCTGCCAAAACGACAGGTTCTGGAATGTGCCACTCTATAAGGTAATAGTGTGGATAAGCACTGCCTCTGCCGAAGAAGATCAAGGTCCGCTTCTACATCACTGCCTGTTTAGCCCCGCCCACCGATTCGTGCATGTAGTGTAAATAAACAGAGGGGAAACACAGATCTACGCAGAAACCAAATGATAAAGATGACTCCAAAGACAATAAGACACTGTGCAGTACCAAGTTGTGGAAAAACAGTCTTTGTTTTCCTTCCTTCTGATCCCAGCGTTAGGAAAGAGTGGATGAACTTTATTTTTAATGAAGATCCAGACCACGTCAGTAAGAACTCGGCCCTTTGTTCACTTCATTTCACAGCGGATTCCTTTACAAACAAGGCACAATTCGACACGGGATTTTCAAAACGATTGAAACTAAAAGACGATGCTGTGCCGACTATAATGGATCCGACAGTCATGTCGCAACACACAAGTGTAAGAGTAACTGTTTTCATTACGTGGTCACTATTGCTTTTTCTCTTATTACATATTGTATGATATGCATTGAGCTATTTATGCGTATTTACCTAAATCACAGCAGTGTCCATCTATGAGGAATGAATGTACGCTGTCAAACATACACAACTATTAGCCAATCACAGCAATGGGTGTTTACTTCCAAGTCTACAATCCACCATGCCTATTCAAACAGAGCGTTCTGATGAGGGGGTTAAAAACAGGACAGAAACTAGCCTATTACTTCTAAATTATGGTTTTTGATGTAAAAATCTTAAAAACATTATAAGTGTACCTCAGAGAACAGTACAAAAAAACAAAAAAGGCAGTTCTTGACCCCTTTAAGGCACCTATATGAAAACATCCTCTTCACATGTGAAATAAGACACTTTTCTTCAGTTAACCATGTCTTTGTGGTTTACTCCAATATAGTTTTTTAACTGCTATAAAAGGACAAAGTATGTGTGATTTACCTGGTGGATACAAAAGCACCACATTCTCTCCGATGTTAATACCACTTCTCTCCATGAGAGCAGCTGCAATCTTCTCTGCTCTTTTATGAAGCTGAACACATGTAGCCGTACATACTGCCACTCCCTAGACAGAGAGAGAGAGCACATTATTGGCCAGCAAATCAAGACATTCTAAGTAAGGATTTGATCAAGTGTAGTCCTTCCACTCTGTTTTTTGTGTGTATGAGTATTTTTTTTACCTTTGCATTCAAAAGTACATAAAGCGTATGGTCAGGATCGGTTTGAGCTCTCCACTGTAAAGCCTCTGTAAGGAATTGATGCTAAGAAAGACAAGATAGACAGTTCATCATCAATAACATCAAACATATAACATCAATAAAACATTAAATAATCATATCATGCCAAAAGTCGTGTCATGCATGTGATTGTGCCATAATGATCACAATGCTTACCATCATTGTAGGCCACATGCACAGCTGCATCCGTACGAAAGCATTAAAATACCACACAATGCATTCAAATGATACTGTTTGCATTATTTACTTCCGGTTGTATGGGCACAATACACAATAAGTCTCCGTTTACCTTCCTGACCAGGTCTTGGTCCTCTATGAGTCCCAGATCTCTGCCTGCAGCCTGTGCAATTCTTTTCCCAGCAACCAAATTACCCACCATGATGGAGGCAGGGCCAACACCGACTATGAAAGACATAATAACAGGACAGAACACTCTGAGAAAACATCACATGCATCAGATTTTCACCTCTAGATTTTAGGGTTCCCTCACCTCTAAGATCTCTATTTAACCCCTGCATACACACCTGGTTGTTTTTGACGTGGTTTGGGCATGTTGGTGACGCAGGTGTGGGGGCACATGAGGATGTTGCAGGGGTGCAGAGCTCCCTCCAGGAAGAGTTGCTTGGTGTCTGAGATGTGAATGCCTCCTAGGGGAGTTTTGGGCAGGGTGTTGGCAGGAACCAGTGCAAGACAATACAATCCCACCTGATGAATACTGTCAATTGCCTACAGTTGTGAAACAATACACAAAAACCACCAACAAACAAATAAATGCATCATATATAAAAGATTGTCAAACGTATGTGTGTTAAACTAAACAATGAATTAACATTTATGCAAGCAATAATAGGACACTGTTGTGATTTTACTTTAACCATGGTAAACTGCTGCCTTAATTAAAATGCAACTATATTCAATGTAAATGCATTAACCTGATTGGCATAACTAGATCAAGCTAATTAAGAACAGTGTTATTTTAGTATTATTTATATACTATCATAATAATTACTAATATTTTGAATTATCTTTTTATTTTTATATTTTCAGTTTACTGTAGGTTTAAAGGGATAGTTCACGCAAAAATGAAAATTCTGTCATTAATTACTCGGCCTCATGTCGTTCCAAACCCGTAAGACCTTCGTTCATCTTCCGAACACAAATTAAGATATTTTTTATTAAATCTGAGTGCTCTCCGACTCTCCATAAACAGCAAAACAACTGAAAGGTTCCCAGGCCCAGAAACGGAGTAAAGACATCGGTAAAACAGTCCATGTGACATCAGGGGTTCAGCCGTAATTTAAGAAGCTACGAGAACAACGCATGCATTGCCTTGTTTACATGCAGAGGAAAGCACACGCATGTGTTGTGGTACTCTCCATAATGGCGGAGGATGATGACTTGGAAAAGAAGAATTGTTGAATAAGGTCATTATTTTTGTTTTCTTTGTGTGCAAGAAGTATTCCCATAGCTTCGTAAAATTACAGCTGAACCACTGATGTCACATGGACTGTTTTACCGATGTCCTTACTACGTTTCTGGGCCTGGGAACCTTTCAGTTGTATTGCTGTTTATGGAGGGTCAGAAAGCTCTCGGATTTAATCAAAAATATCTTAATTTGTGTTCCAAAGATGAACACAGGACTTACGGGTTTGGAACGACATGAGGGTGAGTAATTAATGACAAAATTTTCATTTTTGGGCGAACTATCCTTTTAAATAATTTTGTTATGTGCTTTTGTCATTTGTATTAGTTTTTTTCTATTTAGCTTTAATTCAATTTTAATTTCAGTTTTAGTTTTATAAATTTTAGTACTTCAACTTAAAATTATTTTATTTCAGTTAGTTGCCAAGACAACATTTTTCATGTTATTTTTTTTATTTTATTTCAGCTTTATTTCAATTAATGAAAATGATTTGTAATCGTTTTAGTTTTAGTAAACCATAACAACATGGATTTTGATGACAAATACCTTTTAAATAATACATCAGCATTAAATATTCATTAAATAATTAGCAATATTTAATAATAATCATCACAAACCATTTTTCCACCAAAAGATAGCACATATTGGCAGTACAGTCACAGATGTGTATACATATACTGCCTTTCGTACCATGGAATTAACATGGTACATCCGATCATTTTTTTTTTTTTTTACATTTATTTTTGGCATTTTTGTCTTTATTATAATAGGACAGTTTAGATCTGACAGGAAGCGAAGTGGGAGAGAGAGATGGGGCGGAAAAGGTAGGGATTCAAACTCGGGATGCCCGTAGTCAGCATGCTGTCGGCGAGCTGCCCATGAGGCTATTGGCACCGACATCCGATCAGATTTAGTATAAGTATAAAACAATCAATTTAAAATCACTGCTATAAATTTGTCTGCACCTGTAGAACCCGACTCATCCACTGGAAGCTGTCTTCTTCACTGGCATCAGGCCTCTGCTCTGCTACGATCACTATCCTCTCATCATAGAACACAGTCACTGAGAACACCGCAATCCTACAAAACAAACACACACACACTTCAGATTAATATCTTCTCTCATTAAAATAAATTTTAAGACTACATTGTTCTCTCCATATTCAAGTGGGAACCCTCACCTTCCTCTGTACACAGTTTTGACTGGTTCCACCGCTAGTGCCGTCGCTACTAGATCATCAGCATTGTGACGACGGCCACTAACCATTAGCAAGCCCTCATTCTTACCCACCACAAATATCAAACTACCCTGTTGAAGGAAGGGAGGGGGGAAAACAGATTTTATTCACATGAAAAAAAAATGCACTGTCCCTCTCGTTTTCCTTTTTCACACTCTTACCGGTCCAACAAACCCCAGTAATCCTGACCGCACAAATGGGATTTCACCAATAGGAGTGCCACTAGCATTGACTGGGATCACCTGCGAGATTTCAAACAAACAACACAACATTCACATACACATCAAAACTACAGCATTATTCCATTAGAAATATATTTATGGTGTGTAATTCCGTGCAAAGTTACAACATTGTCTGTGTATGTGAGTGTTAAATTGATCGTCATACCTCAAAGGTGTTTTTAGTGACTCCATGCAGGCCGTAGTACATGTTCCCACCAGCTCGAGAGTTCACGACGATCTCTCCAATCTCATCCGTTTTACACAGCATGGGCGGCCCATCCGGCTTCACAATGCACATCAATGCTAAAACACACACAAACACACATGCTAACTTCATGCGTGCTTGACAAACATATTTAAACTTGGATAACATGGTATTATGAACTGGATTTTTCTCTGAAGGAAATGTGAGTGAGAATACCATAGCTCTATAAATCTACAGTAATACCATGATTATATTTTGTATGTGTGGACAATGCAAATCATAGTACAGTAGACATGGCATCACAGTATGGTGAGGGGCGTAACATTTCCATCACACGCTTGAGGTATTCGGCCAATCACAACGCACTGGATAGCTGGCCAAACACAGCACACCTCGCTTTTCAGACCTATGAGCTTTGTAAAAATCAACGCATTTCAGAAAGGCAGGGCATAGAGGAGAAACAATAATGTACAGTATGTGGAAAATAATGTGTTTTTTTAACCTTAAACCGCATAAACACATTTCATTACACCAAATACACAAAATAATGTTCTTTTTAGCAACATCATATGACCCCTTTAAATATTATCATTATTATTAACATCAATTATTATTGATGGTCAAATATTAATAAAGGTTCTCATTATTATCAATGATAAAACTCTTTTTGCTGCTTAATATTTTTGTGAAAAAATATTATACATACAATATATTCTTTGTTGAAAAAAAGTTGAAAATAATTATAAATAAATATCTATATAATAAATATCTCTCACTTTTGATCAACTGAATGTGTCCTTCCTGAATAAAGTATTTTACACAGACATCTTACATAGACCAAACTTCTGAATGCGTGTATCATGGTTTCTACAAAACGTTTAAGCAGCAAAAATTGTTTTCAACACTGACAATAATAAGTAGTGTGAGCACCAAATCAGCATTTTAGAATGATTTCTGAAGGATCATGTGACACTGAAGACTGGAGTGATGGCGGCTGAAAATTCAGCTTTGCCATAACAGCAATAAATGACATTTTAAAATATATTAAAATAGAAAACAGGTCTTTTAATAATATTTCACAACATGACTGTTTTCCCTGCATTTTTATCCAAATCCCTGGTGAGCATAAGAAACTTCTTTCAAAAACATTTAAAAAAAACCTTAATTATTCCAAACTTTTGATCGGTTTGATCGGTGGTATATAAAATTAGCATTAGTAGCACACACACCTCCAGGCATGACGTGTCCCACATCCTGGACGGTGAGAGCAGAGTTTTTGTCTTCAGTGTTGACCCTAATGACCCCATGGCTCAGCCCAGTCATGGACAGGATGGCTCTCGCTGGAAGAGGAGCACCAGGGACCCCAGGCCTGGAGAAACATTTCACAATCAGGAAACAAATAGCTAGTGCTTCTAAACAGGGATCCCTGCAGTTCGTCAAAAGAATGATATACCTCCGTATGGCAACCGTCATGGCCTCAGGTGACGTAGCACACGGGCAAATGACCTCTGGCTTCAAACCATGAGCCTGGAATACGTTTAAAAAGGCATCACATGATGAAACCGACCCTAAATCAGAAAGAGATGGAGATACAAAGAGATGAAAAGAGTCAAATTGTTGAATATGAATATTAAATGAACATCATCTCCCATGGAGTCTCTGCAGGAGGTCTGGTAGTGTCACTCACAAGGATTGGCTCCGTCAGCAACAATTAGCATGCGCAACGAGGCCAGACTGGTGTCTCTCTGATCTCTGTGAGCCATCATTGCCCAATGCAGGTCACGACACTTCACCAGGGCAACCCGTGCTATAGAAAAAGACGTTTTTCATATCAAAACAAATGTGTGTAGATGACAGACATACATTTGGTTTTTTGTTTGTTGTACCTTTGTGTATGTGAACTCGCTGAACCCAGGAAAGTGGACAAGCTTTCATTACTGCATATGGAACACTGATGGTGTGGATTCGGTTCATCACACTCTGAAATACATACAGATATTATTGTTCGAATGCTTCAAAAATGGCCAAGGTCAAATTGCAATCTAAAATCAAAAAAGAAAAAAAGAAAAGAAAAAAGAAATCAGCCTATTTTAGGATCAAAACTTTTTTTTTGCATTGTGACATTACTTTCAAGACAATAAAGCCTAATTTTCAATAACCTAATTATCATTACCGAAATGCTATATATATATATATATATATATATATATATATATACTGTTATGGCCAGTGCCGGGTAGTAACTGATTACATGTCATTTGGATTACGTAATCAGATTCCAAAAATTAAGTACTTATAATTAGATTAAATTACATTTTAAAATACTTGCAATCAGACTACAGTTACATTTTTATTGATTACTTGATTACATATTTTTACACAATAGCAATATTAGAATTAAAAATCTTTTAAATGTTCTTTTATAAAATGCCTACATGACATGCAGATAAACGAAATATTTCATTTTTTAGTAAGTGTCATTTTAATTGATGTTATTTTTAAATGATTTATTTTTATTTTACATTTTCATGACTTAATTAATAATTAGCTTTTCATTAAACTCACAAACCCCCTGCAGTTCCTTCACAAACACCACTTTGGGAAACCTTGAAATAATGTAATGCTTAATTCACTTTATGTTGTTAATAACATCAAATGGAATATATTTTCTTTGCAATTTAACATGAATATGGTACAAGTATAAAAGTAATCTAAAATTAATCAAAACGTAGTCTGATTATATTATCTAAAATGTGTAATGTAATGGACTACATTATTAATTAAAATTTTTGTCATTTAATTTAGAATCAGTAGCTAACAACAACAATTTGTAAGTACAGGTGCATCTCAATAAATTAGAATGTCGTGAAAAAGTTCATTTATTTCAATAATTCAACTCAAATTGTGAAACTCGTGTATTAAATAAATTCAATGCACACAGACTGAAGTAGTTTAAGTCTTTGGTTCTTTTAATTGTGATGATTTTGGCTCACATTTAACAAAAACCCACCAATTCACTATCTCAACAAATTAGAATACTTCATAAGACCAATAAAAAAAAACATTTTTAGTGAATTGTTGGCCCTCTGGAAAGTATGTTCATTTACTGTACATGTACTCAATACATGGTAGGGGCTCCTTTTGCTTTAATTACTGCCCTAATTCGGCGTGGCATGGAGGTGATCAGTTGTGTCTCTTGTTTCTCATTTTCCTCTTGACAATACCCCATAGATTCTCTATGGGGTTCAGGTCTGGTGAGTTGGCTGGCCAGTCAAGCACACCAACACCATGGTCATTAACCAACTTTTGGTGCTTTTGGCAGTGTGGACAGGTGCCAAATCCTGCTGGAAAATGAAATCAGCATCTTCAAAAAGCTGGTCAGCAGAAAGAAGCATGAAGTGCTCCAAAATTTCCTGGTAAACGGGTGCAGTGACGTTGGTTTTCAAAAAACACAATGGACCAACACCAGCAGATGACATTGCACCCCAAATCATCACAGACTGTGGAAACTTAACACTGGACTTGGGCATTGAAATATGTATTTCTTCTAGGTTAGGGTTAGGGAATTCATCCAATTATAATCTCACCAGTTTCAGTTATTGCATCTGCAGTAGGCAGATCAACACACCTTGATTCTGAAAAAATCTGTAGTAGCAGCATTGATGAGACATTTTTGTCACTCACCGTGAGAACTCCATGCCACAAACCCATGTCCTTCTTAAAGTCCAAAACATTCACCAGCGTTTCACCTGAATGCAGACATATTTCGTTACATCTCCAAACGAGCAGGGCATAAAGCTGCATAGCTAGTTTTTTGGTTTAGTGTAGCTGCAACAAAAGGATGGTGTTTCCATAGCAACAGCATCACTCACCCTCACAGTAGTTACAGGCCTGAGTGAGAGCCTGGCAATGTGTTAACGTGGCAACTTTTGAAACCGCAACACCCATCACTGTGCCCTCCTTACTGGCCTTATACTACATGAAAGAACAAGAGAGAAGAATATTTACATCAATTCAACAAACATACACACACAGAAACACATAAAGCATGCACATGATCTTACCTCTATGTATGCCGTGTCTGTGTTGGCTGTTGGTATGTGAGGCTGCCAGTCTTTTGAAGGCTTTGTGAGGTATTTGGAGTCCGTCACTACCCACTTTAACCTGGGCCAGCCTATCAGAAACCCAACTAGTATTAGATCTGTTATAAAAATCACCATCACTGACTGGCTTTTGAAAGGAAATGGATCATTAATTTGCATGTGAAGTCTCTGACCTTTAAACTGCAATATTTCTCCAGTGGGGGTCTTGGGTAAACCCTTCAAACAGATCTCACTGGTCAAAGCCAGACCCACCCCACAGCTACCTAACAAAAAACCAACCTGGCTGCTCCCAGCATCCTGCAAACACATATACCAGTATGAATTGCTGGCACTCTATTTAGATTTGAAAGCTATTTATAATATATTATTGGTAAATGTGTGACTACCTTTCGGGATAGTGGAACTTCGATGGGCACAGGAATGACTTCAGCCAACAAACAGCCATAAAACGCAACCCAGAACATACCAGGGTCACTGTTTGGATACACCAACGCTACCTGGATCAATAAAAATACATTGTTTACAAATAAATAAAATGAAATGGCAGCATTTTTTTAAATAAACGTTACTTCTAACAATATATGCTGCTCATAGCTAGTCCCTCCAAGATTTCATGATTCTGAGATTGCAGAATTTAATCCAAAATAAAGCAAATACCGTATTATTTGCAGCAACTTGAATTTTTATCTTATTTCCACAATTTTCCCACAAAGAAATGGTAACTTGAGAGGTAACTTGCAAAAGCAATATTACACAATAGACAATATAATTGTTTAATTGTAAAAACTTGAAAAGGATTTACAAGTAATTGTACTATTACTGTCACTGACACTAATTACATCATGATTATTGCTGGGTTTTCACTACAAAACAGCACAAAAACGAAAATTTTTTAGAAAAGCCACAGCGAATTCAGTCATTTTTGGCTGCAAGAGGAATCAGAAAACTAAAACTATATTTTTAAAAAAATGTTAATTTAAATAAAGCTGAAATAAAATAAAATATAAATATTAGAAATCTATGTTAAATATTCATTAACATTATGTCTACTAACATAAAATTAAGCTTTAAATTCAAATAAAAATAAAGTAAGGCTAAATGATTTTTTTTTAAATAAAGTAATAAAAATGATAAAACCATATAACAAAATTACTAAAATTAAAATTAAAATGAAAACTGAAAATAGAAAAATAAAATGTAATTTATTAGATCAATAAATACTATAGTAGCATATAAATAATTCTAAAATAACATTGGTTTAAGTGCACAAAAAAAAA